CCTTGACTAAATTTTTTTGTTCTCTCAAAAAGAGGCATTTGATGTAACTTTGCTAAGTATTACCTTTTGAAAGCTGGGGTTATTCAATTAGAACTTACATGTTAAGGGCAGAAATGAGATGACAGAACTAAAGTAAGTCCTTAGGACGTGATAGTAATAATTACATCTTTAGCCAGGGTAAACCTGTCAGCAATTGCTGATATCCTACTGCCCTAGTTCTTGTGAGACTGATCTGAAAGCTTGTGAAAAGTCATAGACTTAATGAGGTTTCTTTCTTACTTGTGCATACTGTCTCACATGAACAATGACACTGTGGTAATTAGAACAACGAGCATTGCCTTATTTTGAAAAACTACAGACACAGGATAGTAATTTTCAGAAATAGCATAATGTCACAGACTTATTACTTACTTACTTACTAACTGGATTTTAACATAGAGGATTTGTATAGATACCCTAGCTGCTAAAACTATGATATTTGTGCTCTTTCTATGGATGCATTTTATTGTCGCAGAAGTTGAGATTTTCTTGATAATGTTAGTTGTATAATTTGGGCACACCTGAACTCATGCTAAAGATCGTTAACCCTTATGAGGTATAGTATAATCTCCTAGATTATACTATACCTCAAACATAGTTTGTTAATTGGCATTAGATTTCTGTTACCCAGCACTCACATACATAGAAGACACGATACTTACCTGACATGGGTAAGTGTCCCATTTCTATTCAGTTTTTCTGCATCTTGGGACTCGTTGCCCAACAGCAGTCCTTGCACACCCAATGTTGGCGTACTTGTGTACCCTCCTTCAGGCATTACTTGGCAGATCACTCTAGCTCTGTTAAGTATAATGTCATTCAGCTATAGCACTGACCATTGCACTAGTAATAAAATAAGACATACTACTACTAGATAGAAACTTTGTCAATTTGTGGGCTGTTTGTGGCATTGAAACTTTTACTGCTTTCTAACCTCTCCATCTAGGAACTTCAAGAGTGAAGAAGGGAAGAAAGGCAAGTGCCATATGTTTATGTACTTGTGTGAGCTTAAGATCACAAGATCTAAAGGCAAAAATCAGGTAGCCCAATGGGAGGATAAACTTATTTTAGCCAACTGAAATAGAACATCAAAGGCAATTTTACAGTTGTAAGAAATTCAAAGCAGACAAAATAGTTAGGGAAAGGTGCTTATTGATTAGACAAAAAGTTATTATTTGCAATTAAATTAAAGGACAATCTATTGATGAGTTTGGCAAACAGGTTAGGTACCGAATTGTATTCTCATCTAGAAAATAGGATTAAAAAATTTGATTTCTTGGTTGATCTTGACAGTACAACATGTTTTTTTTTTCTGAATAGTCTTTTTTAAGCACCATTCTCATCATTCACATTCCACATTTTTACATGTAAATGCTTTTTTGAGCTATTGTGAGAAATATTTTAACTGTTTTTAGCTTCTCTTTTTGGTCAATAAGCATGCTCTAATTGTGGTGCACAGCAGCCTTCGGCTCGGAGGCGGTGCGGTGTGAAGAATGCTCAGCCATCTTTCCTAAGATCGGGAAGTCTGCACAACTAGAAAAGATTAAAAAAATGGGACAAACAAATCTCACAAACCAGAGGCACTTGATGGAAAAGCGTGTAAGTAGCATTAAATGTAATACACACTGCATTAAAAATATAGGTCATTTTCTTGTTGATATCATTACTCTGTTAAATAACATGAGTTACACAACCTTTTTCCTACATGTATATTCTACTCTACATGTATATGTGTAGGAAAACCAAGAAAAGTTCCTAAATGTTTTCTTGTAAAATAAAACATGTGAAGTTCAGTTACACAACTGTACTGGTATAACCCTGCCAAATTTAATTTAAGTGTGTATTATATGCATAAGCAGATTTTATGATACTAGGTCTTGACACTGAACACAAAAAGCTAGCTTTGATCTTCATTGTACTCCAGGCTGATATTCTAAACATGAAGCACAACTGTGATGTTGTCATCATGATGCGAAACAGGCATGGTGATGGTCACACTGTAACTGTGTATGGCACTGCTGGTGCAGGGGTTGCCTTCATTGGAAATAGGAATGACGTTAAGATTTCAGAAGGTGGAGATGTGGCATTAGAGCTGTTTATGAAGTTTATCAAAGGTGCTCTAAACCAATACTTTTCCATTGATAATATAGAAGCCAATCAGATCTACATACTGTATGAATTACCAAAACAGACACTTGCATTATACTTATTGAATACCTATGTCAAGTTACCATTTTATCATTATGATATTTTTACTGGTGTTGACAAAAATTTACAAAACAGAAAAAAACAAAATAAAGCAAACTGATTGGCTGCATTAATTTTGTAAACATCATCACTTTGAATGTTAATGATGTTTATTAATAAAAGTGAATTGGCAGCGAGAAATGTATTCCACCATCTCAGCATGTACTCATGTTGTTTTCCAGAAGCAGTTTTGCAAGTTATGTTATTCCAGTTTCTATGTAATCAGATGTGACCCTCCTCATTGTATATAAGTTTGTAATGTGACCATTGCCTAACTTCTTCTTTATTTAGATTACTATTCAAGGTCTGGCAGTAAACATTTGACAACTGCATCTACCACTAATGACTTTACAAGTGAGTTGCTTACCTCTTCCCAGGAAGGTAGTTGAACTGTTTGTTCCTAGGCAATGAATTTAATGTTTCAGAAATATTTCAAATATTAGAGTGCATCTAATAAGGTTTCACAATAATTTACAGTGTATGTTACACCCCATAGCTATCTCTTAGGCATTTTTTATTCACACATTTAGATCATTCTGAAAGTTCTAGCAGTTGTTAAACTCCCAAAGATTCAAAAGAGGTGTTACCTGCAGCCCCATGTACTCTCTGCAATGCAGGTTTGTTTCGTTGTTGATTGTTTTTGTTTCCTCGTTTCTACTTTTGTTTGGTTTGTTAAAGGTGCTCTTTTTTGGTTCCTATTGAGCACCACCTACACATTACGTTCAATATAACTACCTGATACTCAGATACCATGTCTGAAAGTGAAGAGGCTGGAGTGCTAGATCGAGTGCAAGACAAAAAGGCTGGTGCAGCAGTGGAATCTAGTCCCCCAAATAATGGTTTGTAATGTTTGTTTGTATGCATTTTAACAACTTCAGGGGTGGATCCAGGGGAGGGGTTGAGGGGGTTGCAACCCCCCCTTTGAGCAGCATTTTAATTTTTTTTAATTCTTCTTTAAAAAAAATAAGAACAAAATTGTCTTTTACGAAGTTGTTTCACTTCCACCATTCACCTGCTTTTGCGGATTTAAAAAGATAATATACATTTCGCAACTTCTGTCAGTGTGGGGGATCAGTTACTTGGGAGAAAGTCTTATTAGGATCGCGTGACGTCCTCAGGGTCATATATAATAGGAACACAGGTGAAATTCATTCAAGCGTAAACGAGCGGGATTGGGACCGAGCGAATGTTTGAGTCAGTTGCTGAGGTCGAAGAACGTACGAACTGGAAGCTGTCATGAAGAAAATAACCGATTTTTATGCGAAGAAATCAGGTAAGTTCGTGTTTTTTTTTTTTAAAAGACGGTTAATTATATTTAATAACAATAATAACTACTTTCAACACCCGATAGCCTTGACATACCGTGCAATTCATACAACAGATACAAAGTGTATTTTTCATTGTCCACCAGTTGAAAGCTGACTGGCAAGAAAATCATGTCTTTTGAACATAAATAAACATTTTGCAGGTTCAGCCCAATCGAGGCCTGAAGATAATGAAGGTATTAATGAAGGTAAGCAGAAATAAAATTGTTCTTAAACGGAGACAGAGAAAATAATTTATTATACTTCACTACGTGAACTGTCATTATAATTATAAACACAGAAAGCTTCGACATCCGATAGCTTCGACACGCGATAGCTTCGACACGCGATAGCCTCGACATACCGTGCAATTCATACAAAGTGTATTTTACATTGTGCACCATATTGAAAGCTGACTGGCAAGAAAATCANCGGTTGTACAGCCCTTGGATAAGTGCCTAAACAAGCCATTTAAAGATAATGTGCGCCGAAAGTACTTGGCGTGGATGACATCTGGGCCATTTGAGTTTACCCCAGCTGGGAAGAAGAAGGCGCCAAGCAGAAATCTTGTCCTCAGGTGGATCAAGGAAGCATGGGCAGAGATACCCGAAGAGATGGTTGTCAAATCCTTCAAGACCTGCGGTATTTCCAATGCCTTGGACGGAACAGAGGACGACGTGGTCTACTCTGAGGAAACCCCAGAAGTAGATGATGAATACATAGAAGAGAACGAGTTCGACACAGACAGCGAAAACGAAACGGATGGCGAGTAAACCATTGGGTTGAAAGCCCTTGCACGTATCCGTCAAACGGCTCCTTTAGGAGCCACCAATTTCATAAAAGTGAATAACCAATATTCAGAAGTTATTTTTGTTGTGTTTTATTACTTCTGCTTCATTGCTAACTTGACTACAAGCCGGGGGGGTAAAGTTATTCAGCAACTGTATATTTTTAAAATGTAAAACCCTCGGCTATAAGCCGAACCCCGTTCTCCGTGAAAAATCTCCCAAAATTTTGGGTCGAAAACTGAAAAAATCGCTCGGCTTATAGGTGAAGAAATACGGTATGCACCATAAATACCCTATTAAAAAAAACACAATTTGAATTGCCAAGATATTCTATTCGGTCAAAGGGAAGTGTAAGGGCAGTTTTGGTAATTTGAAGAGTCCAAAACAAGGTAATGCCTGCTTTACCGATATTGTGAAGTGGGGTTAGTTTCATTTGCAATGCAAACTATTTTTTGGCTTGTTTTTGTTGTGTTTCTGGATTTTGTTTGAGCACCCCAAATGGATTTGGAACAATCTAATATACTTGATTCTCATATACAGAGTCTGAAAGTACAGAAGAGACTAGAGACACTAGAGAGTGTGCAGGACAGAACAGCTGGGGCAGCATTAACTTCCAGCTCACACAATAATGGTTTGTTTGAATTGTTTTTTTTTTTTTTTCTTTGTAGTGAAGTAAGTATAAGTCACTGTGAATGCATAGCGGTATTGTTTTGCAAGACTTTCTGATGTTTTCATCAAAAACTGAAATTCTTTTCAAGACCTGTGTACATGTAAAGTTGATCTAGTAAATAGTATGCTATGAAATCCCTGTTGGTTGCATACTAATTTCTATTCTTATATTCTGTTTTCTTGATTTTAACAGTGATGGTGGTGTACAGACACAACAGTTGTCCTGGGAGGTGGCCATTTAGAGGAAAATCGACGAAAAATTCATGGCAAGAGAGTACCAACAGATCGTGTTTGTGTGCTGTTAACAACAGCAATGCCTGATGTTATTGCACCATTTATTGCTGGCGATACGGAGCAAGTCTTCTGAATGGATCTCTCCAGCTAACACTATATAATGCTCCACCTTGAAGGGACAGGAATGGCTAGTAATGATCAATTTTTGTGTCAAATTGAGGGTCCAAAGACATAATGAGGGAAGAGTACGCAAAACATGTCATTGATAAAAATACATGGTCTCAACATTCATTTTGAGAGATTCTGCATTAGAGTAAGGAAGGTGATATTGTAGACCACGCCCAAAATAGGATTCTTTTTTTCCTATCAACAGGCAATTGGATGTTTGACCTACATATCAACAGCAACCAGACCGCATATTGCAGCAGCAGTTGGAGTCTTGTCACAGTATATGTCAAAGCCAAGCAAAGACCAGCGGATGGGTGTGAAACGTGTTCTACGATATCTCAAAGGTACTTTGAATTGGATGACAACCTGTGAAAAACCTGTGAAAAACCTTTGAATTTTTCTGTGAAAAAACCTGTGAAATACCATTTTTCACGTGTTTTTTCAAAGGTTTTTCACAGGTTTTTCACAGGGTGTGAAATTTTGAAAACCTGTGAACAGGGCACTTTTCACAGGGTCAAAAACCTGTGAAAAAATATGTGAAAAAAACTGTGAAATAAAACCTGTGAAAAAACCTGTGAAAAAACCTGTGAAAAAGAATATTGTTCTGGAGCTTTTTCACATGTTTTTTCACAGGGTCTAATATCTCAAAACCTGTGAACAAGGCACTTTTCACATGGTCACAACCTGTGAAATAACCTGTGAAATAAAACCTGTGAAGAAGAATCTTGTTCAGGAGCTTATTTACAGGCTCTAAAATTTCAAAACCAGTGTGAACATATATATGGCACTTTTCACAATCCTTTAACTGATTACATTGTGTTTGTTAATTCATTGGCAAAGTTTGACAAGCAATGACCTGTCATTGATAAGTAACATTCCTTCTCTTAACAATTGAGACATGCATGGGTCTCATGATGTTGGTGTTCTGGTTTACTTTTAGGTAAACAACCTTTCTGTCAAAAACTGGCAAGACTATGACATCTCACGGTAAACATAATGAAGTAACCTGGAGTACTACCAGATATACTCCAGATAAAAGCCCTGATACAAAGCCTTGCTTGTCTTTGAACTACTTC